ATTTCTTGACTGCGACCGCATGCGTAGCATCTCCCACTTTTTCTAATTGAAAAATAATAATTTTTGTTGTAAAAGGTCGCAGAGCTGAGCGAAATTCAACATGGCTGTGTACAATTTGAGAGCTTGTGCTGCAACACTTCTGCTTTTTTGCAGCTCCAGGGGGGGGGGGGCGATTCCTGATAACTCGAACTTCGGATAACTCGAAACGATTTGCCCGGTCCCTAAAAGTTCGAGTTAACGAGTTTTCACTGTATTTGAATTCGAAAACTCCAACGATTGGTCCTTTTCTCCTCATCCTTCCTATTTCTTCAATAATTGAAGCAGTTTTCACGCACACCATACGTTTATCACTTAGAGGTCAGGTCGAAACTCAGTGTTTGAAGGGTTAAACTTCTTGTAATTCACTAAGGTAATTAATATGAAGGCAACCTAAAGGCTAATATCTTCATACAATTTAATTAGATAATATAAGATAATGCACTAGTTTATTTAGTAAATCCAATTTCGAGACAATGAGAGCTGGACGTTCGGAATGACATCCCGAAAATAATTCCTCGTTGAAAAAGCAGTTCTCTTGAAAACATTTACCCTCTTCAATACATACCTTTAGAAGCTTCCTCGTCGTGGCCGGCACAAAAAGACTGCGAGTTAAGTGTTTGTGTGGCGCCTTTCCCCTTTCGTTTTATGGTCTCTCTAAGACAGTTGACATTTGATAAAACTGGAATTTCAATCTCCGTCAATACATCACTGGGGATATCCGAACCATTTGCACCCCAACCAGCCACCTGTCATCAAAACTCACAAATAACAAGAAATGATAATGACAATAAATGATTTTTAAAATGTGTGGAAAAAACAAAATCTCACCCATCCTATATTTCCATCCTCAAGATTTGCTTCGGAGAAGTGAAGGAACTGATATGTCGGGAGGCATATCAATTGCACCCGCTCGGTCAACTCTACTGGGTGGCTTAGTTTCAACAAGGCAATGTCAGAGTCGAAGTTGTATCGGTTGAAGCCACTATGAAGGATAGCCGTAGAAACCTGGATAGATTCCATATTAATTATAATGTGACACTGGACTACATCGGTGAAAAAGTAGAGGAAAGTAAGGTCACCTTTCTCTTCTCTACAAATTCGTCGTCCAAGGAGTCATTACGATAATGTTTTCCTAAATATACGAGGAACTCATCCTTGGGTCGAAGTCGTGCAGTACCATCCACGGCGAGGCAATGAGCGGCGGTCAGAACCCAGTCTTCTCGTATGAGAGCCCCTCCGCAAATGAGGAGCTCATTTTTGATGTCATAAATGGCAGCTTGCCAAGGCCACTTTCCAATTCCTGAAGGTTTTCCACCTGCTGACAAACCCAGTGGCACTCTTTTCCCACAACCTATCTCCGAAGTAAAGCTGCTTCATAGTGGCATTCCAATATGCGATGGATCCCTTTTCATGAAATAGCATTGAAATGGAAACTCACCCGGCTCACAGAATTGATTTCTTCCACTCCATTGTCCGTTCGTTTTGCAAATCCGACGCCGGGATTCCTTCAGAATGTAATACTGGTTGCACTCGTATTCTACAACGGTTCCAGTCTCATACCTACCGTGTTTAATGCATTCTGTGTTGTTTTTGCCAACCTCTTCAGGTAGAGTGGCATCAACTATCCTGGAACAGGTAATCAATAGTCTTGCATAATTTCCTCATAATAGGAGAACATTAATATTATTATATACAGTATAGTGTTTTACAGCCTTACCTCTTGCCGATACTTGGGCAGGATTTTATTATAAAATGTCCATGTTCTATGTCTGCAAGTCGCCTGCATCTGGTTTCATTGCCGTCTGGAAGAGACACGTACCACAAGTTCCATGGTACATAATGCTCTTCCAGATTTCTCATTGAAAATCAAGAGTAAATTATGAATGTGTTATTTATGCATGGTTTTCAGCTCAAATATAAAAATTTTTGCTGATCAAAGCCTACGAATTTCTTCTGAATTAAACTCAGCCCCGAAAATAAATTTAAAAGTATATTGAAAATTACGAATAATAGGAAACTGAATCCCTTGCTAGGGGATGGGGGTGGGGGTAGTGGTGTTACGAATGACTCGAAAGAATGACTAATGAACGAAAGAGAAAAAAACGCGGCATGGATTACCTTTATCATATTGCCCCAGGTTGTCTCCGGTTTTGCCTTGATTATCTCAGCGTCTGTGCAAAGGTTGAGCTCGACCCGGTCAAATTACCGATAACTTTATTTGCTTTGTTAAGCGTGAAAGGAAGAAGTGTCTTGTTCAAGAGGTCGGTGTGTAAGTCAAGTTCTGAGTCCGTGAAGACTAGAGCCATCAATGCAACAACTTTTTAAAGTGCTAAGGGCAGACATTGCTAAGGATAATGGGTTCCTAGCAATTATTGCCTTTCATTGTACGAGTTCTTTAAAAGAGAAAACTGTGTTCCTCCTGTTTCCAATACCCATGTGGCTCAACTTCACTTATGGAAACACGTACATCATTCGTTGTCTATTGCGTTTGTATCTATTGCGTTTAATGCTTTTGCTAGCATATAATTCAAAGCAGAAGCTTTTTAATTCTACGAGGTAGCGATCCTGGGCTGAACTTCGTTGTGATATATTTCCACCTTGGAGAGACTTCAAAATCCTCCATGAGTTGGTTCATCAACTTCACAAAATGTTTCCTCCACCTTCAAGCATTTCCAACCTGGAAGTTAGGGCTTTACTCTTTAAATCTTTGATAGCCTGAGATTACCTACTTTGACAAACAGTTCGAATAACATCGTAGAATACCACTAGCCTTCCTGCTGAAAAAATCGCATGAGACATTCATGAGATTTTAAAGCAGAGATCTAGTGCGGATTCTCAAGCTTCCCATGAGAACTTCGTGGGATCTCAATGAGATACATGTGAGACCTTTCAGGCCTCATAGGATCCTCATAGTCCCCATGACGATGTATCGAAGTGCTATGACTAATCTTACTACTCTCGTTAGAAACTCGGCGGATCTTATATGAAGTTATGACATCTCATGAGAAATTATGAATTCCTTGTAACTTTATTTTTTAGCTAGGTAAGTAACACGGCTTCGTCTTCTTCGCAAAGTCAGTCGAAAACTCCACTATGGAGTACTTTGTGCCACTCTCATTAATCCTTTGCCTCTCTCCAGTGCGACGAAAACGCCACATAGAGCTACTTTTGATATTCTGGCACAATTTTAGGAATCTAATGAGTAAAAGATAAGTGGCACTATTCGCCGTTCGCACCTGCGGGCTTGTCACCGGTTTCCTCATGGTGTGGTGCATCGAACATCTCCCGTTCTACAACGTGTGCGGTGCTCTCACCCAATCAGTCAGTATCTGAAGCTAGCCCACCACCAAATATTGAACGGTACTCAATCGGATTCACAATACCCTTGCATCCATATCTAGGCATCATAAGTCAACTGAGACGATCAGAAAATTGACCCGGCGATTGTTGGAAATTTTATCGGTCTAGCTGTCTTATATTTGGAATGAATTAACATTTCCATGCTGCAGTGGAAAATTGTATGAGAACTTTTATTGTCACTCCTGACATACATTTAATCTATAAGACTAAAGATATTCTACCGATAACCAGATTTATTGTTGTACTATCGAGTTTGTTTGCCCAAAAGGCAAAGAAAATCCCTATGTACACGCCTTTGACGTTCCTTTGTCTGGTGTGGTGATTCATTCATTAATTTATTTTAAAGAAAAAAAGGTATTAAAAGAATTAGCCCATCGAAATGCGCATCGAGAGAGAACTAGCCAATATTTTCATAGAAGTAATTACTCCAATTGCTTCTTTTGTGCTTAACTTCAACTCCCCTCATAATCAGCCATAAGGGGTCATATTTTAAAAGCAAGTTCTGGACTCAGCAATTGATCAGGTGCATCAGAGCCAAGTTTCAACTTTTTCAGTTTTCTGTTTCCTGGAATTAAAAAGGATTCTGATGAATGTGCCTTCTGCAAAAAAATGTGCCCTCAGGGGTTTTACTTAAAAATAATAATTTTTTTTTTTACTGAAATCAGTACTTGGAGAATCACACACATTCCAAGTTTCAGCATTATTCGTTTTCTCTTTCTTGCTAGTACAAAATATCTTTGGAAAAATCGATGCAGCCAAAAGTTGCGCCCTAAGGGTATGCATTTCAAAAATGTGAATATATTCCAAACTCACCATCACCTCAGGTATTGGTGTTCCAAGATTCACGATTCTATTTCTGCCCGATTCGGTAGGAAGGAAAAAACGCATTTGAAAAGTCACTAAACAAAAACATGCCCTCAAGGCATGTATCTCAAGCTTGACATTTTTTCTGAACCCAGAGTCTCAGTAGGCGCGTAAATGTCAACTTTCACCTTTCCATGATCATCCGTTTGACTCAAGTAAAAAAATCATTTTAAAATATCTTGCATTGAAATTTGTGCCCACAGGGTATTTATCTTCAAAGTTTGAATTTGTCAGAACTCAGCCCAATTCGGTTGGAAAAAAATTACTTGAAGAAGTTACCCCCCAATAACATGCTTCGAGGGCTTGCATCTGAAAATTGACATTTTTCCTGAACTGAGTGTCTTGGTAGGCACTACCATGCCAAGTTTAATCTTTCCATGTCTCTCCATTCGACTGAAGTAAACATATATATTTCAATAAATCTCCCCCAAAATTGGTGCCTCCGAAGTTTTTTTCTGACCTCTACATACTAAAAGGAAAATGTATTCCTAGTTTCATCTTTCTACCATATCTAAAACATGGTTAGAATTAGCGTCAGTCAATCATTCACTCAGTCACGATCGCCTATATATATTAAATGTATCATACCTGTTGGTCTAGGTGTTGTCATCATTGTTGTCTTCATTGTTGTCATCATTGGCTGGCAGCATAGCTCCCCAGCTCGACAATTGTCCACTTTCGAGAAAATTTCTGTTCCTGGCCGGCAGAGAGAATATAAATGGGCATTGACACACATGTATGGACATGGAGCGGGACAACTTTTCATTGCATCCAAGTCCAATTCTTGACATTTCGTTCCGTTGTTACATATCACTCTCACTCTGTCGAGGAAATTCTGATTAACTACAAGCCAAGCAGCTACACAGTCGCAATAGATGGGATTGCCTGGAAAAAAAAGAAATGCGAATCGTGGAATGAACGAGCTAGAGATGAATGGACATGGAGGATAGTACAAGATGATGAGGCCGTGCAACTCACTCCAACTGAAATAATTTTCGTTATGGAGGATGAGAATTCCATGTCCGAGCGATAAAACCTCCATGATGGGACGAAAGCTCTTCTCAGGCAGTGCAGTAATATTGTTGGAACTTAGATCAATGGTTGTGTTCGGTGTCAGTCCTGCAATGAGCATTAGGGAACTTCAAAAACCAATTGCTTTATTAATTAAAACCAAGGCTTTGAATAACAGTTAGTTTGGCACAAAAATCGGCCGACACGTCTGATTTCTATATGTTGAATTTTCATTTAGGGGAAATAATTATTGCCACCTAAAGAAAATTAGTCCTCTCCTGGAAAATCACACTAAAATATCCAGATGATGATTCATTGAATCCATTCACTTGAGTAGGTTTTTTTTAAATAACAGACTGAGTGAATGATTTTCTTCCATGTTCATATTCCATTCTTTTAATATCTAAGTGATGGATGAGGAAAATATATCGGATATCTCACTTTCTCAACCGTATAGAGCAATAAACTAAATTTAATCAAAATTGGAGTCATATTTTGTAGTGCATTAATTCGACTCATGAGGTGAAGTCATGACTGGAACTAGAAACCTTGAATCCCAAACTTTCTCACAGTTCACACGCCTTTTTTTCTTCTAGAAAGAAAACACTTAAGTGTGAGCAAGAAGTGCAATGATGATGACATCAAACACCATAGGATGACACAAAAGCTAGCGCATTTCTTGGATACCGGTCATTATGTTCCCTATGGAATAGGAATATCTCGCGTACGACTTATGCATTGGCTTACTCGATCAAAAATTAGAGTACAAGAATCAGTAAATCGAGAATATGAACATGTTACTATAGATTGGCATCCTCAAGAGAAGTGACGTTCCATCGGCTGATCGGAAGGAAGATAACAACTGAGGAGTTAGGTATTTTGGGGAGACAGTATTTAACACTTTACTGCGGCATAATTTCCTGGTGACTGATAGAGCCAGAGACATGCATATGCTGCCTATACCTACACTGGATAGTGATAGGAGCGAACCCAGGGAACTTTTGGCGTCATGTTTTGGGGTAAGAGCCTGTACCCCCCCATATGGCGCATTCAAACTTCCCACTCGCACATCTCCCGTCCATCCTCATACATTCACCCAGTATCATAGAGATTTCATGCTTCTATCCCGAACTTTGACTTCACCTTTAACGGGGAAGTACTCCTTATGTCTAGAAGTACGAAATTGGAGACCATCTTTTTGCAATTGAACTTGCTAGCCTTGGGCGACAACATCAAGACCGATTCTGATGCGTAGCTGGACTCGTCTCGCACCGCTACCAGAATCCCACCACGCAAAGGGTGACAGATTGGATGAGTGTCAAACATTAAGTACTGAAAGGATGAATAAAATATTCTGAATATTCTAAACACAAAACTAAGAAAAAAACATACTGGACTGATTTCAATTAATTGCAGACTCGTCTCACCCTTTGAGGAGCTCATTTGCGGAGTGTGAAACACTGATCTAGTACTGTAAGTAGCAATAAAATACTACTAAGAGATACTCCATATATGTAACGCACCAACAAAGAATAAAAATGATAATTATGGATTTTAATTAATGAGGTATAAAAAACTCATCTTCCTGATTCATAGTGTTTCTTTACTTTCTCAAATCAGATTAAAAAGTTCATAAGCAAAAACATTGAAAACATCTGGACATGCTTTTGAAATGGATACAAATATTTAACTTAAGTTGACAACTTTTTATTTATCCAGAAATGATCTAGACCAGAATCATCATTATTGATATTATAATTCTCAGCCACAATATAGCCTCATTTACTGCGCAGTACACCTTTCCAATGCATGAATGTTCTTTTATTTTTCTTAATTCATCCTATCTCTTTCCTTTCGCTTTGAAAGTATATATGGTACCATTCTCTCTGGGGCCGTCGGTTACATTAGCAATTAATTAAGAAATAAGTTCTGAAGAAGTTCTTTTGGTTGATTTCTTGAGACTCTTCAAAACACTGTCGCTTGTTCAATTTTTCCCACAGCCCTAAAAGAACGTGGTCTACCTGGTCGTTGTGCATCTGCAACAGTGCCGTACTCCCTAAATCTGGACATCGTCTGACGACATGCTCTGATGGAGCAACTTTAGCATGAAATTTTGTTCGATAAGCTCTTTGAGTAGCAATTATGGAGCAACCATTTTGAAAATAGAATCCTATAATAGTGGAGCGTTACTAAAGTGTCCATTTTTCCATGTTTAAAAATTCTGGGGACAAACTATTATCTGAAATAAAATATTAAATGAAAGCAGTAATAGCACTAACGTAAAATAAAAAAAACCGCTTTACGACTTTTGGCCCACCCTGTACATTAATTTTCTATGTCCAATATATCATTTTTCCAATTTTTATTTATTTTTTCATATCAGTTTTCAGTCTTGGTCGAGCGTTCGTAGCGTGAGGACGCGTCAGAGGTTACTCTCGAGGTTCTGATAGCTAAGTCGTGAGTTAGTCGATATTTGGCTACTTTGTAGTGTAACGGGCACGGGGCGCAGTGGGTTGGATTTATGAAAATATCAACTATTAATTAAGTTAAAATAAAAAATTTACATTAACGCGCCCCGATTCCACTACAATGAATTCCCTTCAGGAAATCAGGTCCGTGCCAATTCTAATTCGAGTGGGGGTAACTAAGGCGTAATTCAAGAAAACAAAAAAAATGTATTTCCCAAAAAAAGCAACTAAAAAAAAAACAATAGAAATCTTAGCCTAACAACCGGTCCAACCCCTTTACAGTACTTTCAATGACAAAGGGCTGATCTTCACTTGAAGATAAAACCTTGCAAGTTCTGGGGAAAACTCATGAACATCGAAGCGAAAAGATCCTCTAACTATATCGTTGTTTCTCTGTATGTTTTTTTTTTTTGGAGAGGAAGGCGGCCGGTTTCAAAACACCCACGATGTAAAAGGGCCCGAGTACCCTGGTCAAATCGGTACTAACTCCACTTCTTCGAGTTCGAGCTCTTCAGTCACCTCGGAGTGAGGGATCGAGGGAGGGATCTTCAGTTGAAATCTTGCTGGATTGGAGGATAGGTTTTGACGATTAGACTTGATTGGAGGGACTTTGATACCCATTCGCAACATGATGTTATGGCTCCTTGTACAGTGTTTCGGTAGCACATTCGAGAAGGAAAGATCCTACATTTAAACTGTAATTAGCCCTTCCACGGGTTGGTTGACCCGAAACACTGGGTTCAGCTCCCTCCACGCGTTGATGGATGTTTTAGTTCACCCCCTTCAGCTTCCTCCCCGCCTTGACTCTACTGATACACTGGACGTTGCGCGGTCATAGGCTGGCATACGTTACAGTAGCAGTATTTATAAGTTTCTGATAGCTACCTCCAACTTCACACTAGATCAATATCAAACAGCTTAATTATTCCAATTATTAGCGAATTACTCATAGTATTCCATTTACTACAAGGACTAGGACAGTCTTTCGGGTCACAACTAGTGTGAAGTATTGCAAAGTATAAGTCTAAAGCAGTAGAGAAGCGTCAATAGCGATCAATAATATTAAGATGCCTAGGACGTGTAGATACGTTCGGTGCGGGGATTGGGTAGGTGGGACTAGTGAATGAGAGGTATGCCAGGTATGCAGAGTTTGTAACGTGGAACTTGGAACGACTAGGGGAGCTATCGGAGAGGCTCATTAGCGTCATTAGGAGATAAGAGGGATCAGGAAGGAGGTGGGGGAGATTCAGTGGGATGATTTAGTGGCGCGGTTAGGTACACTCTTAGAAAAAGGGGAGCGATTTTTCTTAAAAAAGAGAGTAAGATAGCTAACTCCAGTTTCACCCCCCCTTTTCACTCTGGGAAAGGAGCGAATTTACTCCACTACCAAGGAGTAAAATTGTTCTCCTCCTCCGTAAATAAAAACGCTCCCATCAGAAAGTGATAGTGATGTCATGCAAATAGAATTTAAGAAGAATTAAGAGTTATATTATATTTGAAAGCAGCTTTGCGCGCGAAGTACCTAAGGACTGGAGGGTAAAAAACGTCGCACCGATTTTTAAGAAGGGGGATGAGAGTAATCCAGGGAATTACAGGCCGGTAAGTCTCACGAGTATCCCAGGGAAGATCATGGAGAGCATCCTAAGAAACCACCTCTTGGATTTTCTCGAAGGAAACTCGCTCATTCGGGACTCTCAGCACGGCTTTAGGAGGCGTCGAAATTGTCTCACTAATTTCTTCGAATTCTACGATTGTGCGACGGAAGAGAGGGATAATGGAAATCCGATGGACATTGTCTATTTAGATTTCGCCAAAGCTTTCGATACCGTGCATCACAAGAGGTTGCGGGATAAACTAGATACCGTGGGGCCCACGGTATCTAGAGTAGGACTAGCGAATGGATCAATAGCTGGTTGACAGGAAGAGAGAAAAGAGTATTGATAAATGGAGAAACGTCGAAGGAGGTCGGAGTCGCTAGCAGTGTCCCTTAAGGCCCGGTCCTTGGGCTGCTTCTGTTTTTGTTCTACATATTAAACGATTTGGATCTCGGCGTAGAGGGTAAGATGAGTAAATATGCCGACGACACCGAGAGAGGTTTCTCCATAAGGGGGGTGGCGGATAGGGTTAGAGCGGAGCGAGATTTAAGTCTTTTGGACGAGTGGAGCAAGAAATGGCTCGTGAGATTTATTAAAAGTAAGTGTAAAGTTCTCCGCGTCGGTCGATATAATGGTGCATCCCTCGACACGGTCGGCGAAGTTAAACTGAGAGATGCAAACGGAGAGAGAGATTTAGGAATTTCTATCGACGATGACCTCAAATTTTTCTCGCACGCGCAAGCGACGGTGGCCAAATGCAACAGGATTCTAGGTTTCTTGCGTCGTACGGTTGCAAGCAGGACTTAGCACGTTATTCTTCCTTTGTATGCAGCGCTGATAAGACCCCAGTTGGAATGTTGCATCCAGTTTTAGAGGCCTACCAATAAGGGCGAATTGTTGGCGCTCGCGGGGATACAGAGGAGGGCCACAAGACTGGTTAAGGAGGTTAGGGGCCTTATTTCGTACGAGATTCGTTTAGAAGCGTTGGGACTGTACTCGCTCGGGAGAAGGTTAAGGATGGGGGATCTCATCCAGGCTTTCAAGTAATTAAAGGAATAGAAAATGTCGAGTGTAGCAGGTTTTTCCAGTTTGATGGTAAAAGGAGAACAAGAGGTAATCAACTGAAGTTGTGCGAACCGCAAGTGCGGCTCAGGTCGAGACAGGAATTCTTTACTTGCAGGGTGGTGAACGCGTGGAATGTGTTAGATGACGAAGTAGTGGCTGCCCCTTCTGTGACTATTTTTAAAAAGAAACTGGATGCTTTTATGGACATGCCAAAGGTGGGGGGCAATGTTGAAGTTAGGGTCTAGGAAATAATGAACTAGGATATGCTAAAAAAAATACAAAAACCAACAGAAAGCTTTAGCTTTAAGAGGATTAGGCCTACTGTATATTAAGGAGCGCTCAACCTCGACGCGTGATAACGACATGAGCGTAATCGCCTCTTGCTATTACTAAAGTACCTTGAACCTTCAACCTTGAAACGACAATTTGCATATATGTAATATATCATACCATATATTATTTGATATACATACAATTAAATAACTGAAGATTACTGAACTGACAAATGAGAGGATGCCTCCACTGGAATTGAGCTATGAATTATTGGACTCATAGTAGCGTAATATGGGGGCAAAGTCAAGAATCAAAAGAAATTGCCATAGCCATGATGAAAATATGTTAATTGAAATGGATGGTCTGTAGGGATGAAATTAACCGAGCTAAGGTAGGGAGACGTAAAGCATATAGAAAACAATACAGTGTTCATCATACGAAGGAGGGGAGTGTTGAAAATAAGGTACTAAAAAGGAAGGCAACGAACTAAGCGAAGTTCATCTTAAAGTCTCATCATTATGTACTTATGATTTAAAGATTTCTCTCAATTACATCTCAATAAATATGGCATCAATTTCTTTCAGAATGAATGAGTTATGAATTCATGAGGAATGGAAAATCGAATTTCCTTCGCGTTTTTGTTCAAAGAGGGCAACAGCACCAAGCAAATTCATCATTACATTGTTATCGCAAATGAAGCAAGTGCTTTTTGTCCCAACTTCTTGGGAAAAAAGTTTGGTTGTTCTAAAGGGGCATGAATCCATGAAAGATGAGAGAAAGCATTTGGAAGGCCCAACATCGCAGTAAATCATTAGACAATTATTACTGTCGTAGCGACGGTGATGCGCTATCAAGGAATTATTGTGGAGAAAAGTCAAGAATGAAGTTAGAATTACTAATGACGATGTTTTGACAATATAGAAAGAGAAGGGCATATCCAAGGTGCATGCTCGATGGACCCTTCCAAGGGAATCAAGAATCGGGTGAAGCTTAATAGCATCTTTTGGTTCGGGACGAGATTTTACTCTTGAGAGAATTATGATTACAATGATGAGATTTAATGGTTAATGGGGAAATAAGACGGTTTTTCAACCAACTCATTCAACTCATGAATCATCATATCACACCAAATCCTGCACAGTATATACTCACCTAACTTTGGGCCAGGGGCAGAGGTTAGAGAATTCGAGGAGAGATCCAGTTTCTTCAAGTTCGGAGTCTCCAATCCGTCTCCCTCCACTCGAGTAATCTTATTAGATCCAAGATTCAGTATTTCTAGGCTGTGTAACTTCAGGGCTGGGACAGTGGTTAGAGAATTCCAGGAGAGATCAAGTTTCTTCAAGTTCGGAGTCTCCCATCCATCTCCCTCCACTCGAGTAATATTATTAAACCCAAGATGCAGATTCTCGAGGCTGCCAAATTTGAGGGCTGGGACAGAGGTTAGAGAATTCCAGGAGATGTCAAGTTCCTTTAAGTTCGGAGTCTCTGAATCGTGTCCCTCCACTTGAATAATCTTATTTTTCTGAAGATCCATTATCTCAAGGCTGTGTAACTTTAGGGCTGGGACAGAGGTTAGAGAATTCATGGAGAGGTCAAGTTCCTTTAATTTCGGAGTCTCCAATCCTTCTCCCTCCGCTCGAGTAATCTTATTAAACCTTAGATACAGTATCTCGAGGCTGTCAATTTTGAGGGCTGGGACAGAGGTTAGGGAATTCGAGGAGAGGTCAAGTTTCTTCAAGTTCGGAGTCTTCCATCTTTCATCCTCCACTCGAGTAATGTTATTAAACCCAAGATCCAGTATCTCGAGGCTAACAAATTTGAGGGTTGGGATAGAGGTCAGGGAATTCGAGGAGACGTCAAGTTCCTTTAAGTTCGGAGTCTCTAATTCGTGTCCCTCCAGACGAGTAATCTCATTATTCTGAAGATCCATTATCTCAAGGCTGTTAAATTTGAGGGCTGGGATAGAGGTTAGAGAATTCGCAGAGAGGTCAAGCTCCTTCAAGTTCGGTGTCTCCCATCCATCTCCCTCCACTCGAGTAATCTCATTAAACCCAAGATGCAGTATCTCGAGGCTGCCAAATTTGAGGGTTGGGATAGAGGTCAGGGAATTCGAGGAGAGGTCAAGTTCCTTTAAGTTCGGAGTCTCTAATTCGTGTCCCTCCACACGAGTAATCTTATTTTTCTGAAGATCCATTATCTCAAGGCTGCCAAATTTGAGGGCTGGGATAGAGGTCAGAGAATTCGAGGATAGGTCAAGTTTCTTCAGGTTCGGTGTCTCCAATCCGTCTCCCTCCATTTGAGTAATCTTATTGAACCCAAGATGCAGTATCTCGAGGCTGCCAAATTTGAGGGTTGGGATAGAGGTCAGGGAATTCGAGGAGAAGTCAAGTTTCTTCAAGTTCGGTGTCTCCAATCCGTCCCCCTCCACTCGAATAATCTTATTAAACCTTAGATCCAGTATCTCAAGGCTGCCAAATTTGAGGGCTGGGATAGAGG